AAGAAGATTACAACAACACTGTCATAAGCAACGCTGTGTATCTAGCTAAGTCTAGTTCCATGACTAGTAAATATTGTTGGAATTCAAATCCAGTCAGATGTCTAATGGTGAGGAACTCTGAGACTCACCGTCCACCAACATCTGGGGGCTGCTGGTATGAAGTTGCAGTTATGTCAACAGAGAGCTTTGGGAGAAATAATAGGGATGAATTTGAAGGTTTGTAGTCACCTCCTTTGAGAAATTTTATTTGTTCTTGTTTTGACACACTTACCTTATGCGTATTGGTTTCCTAAAATTTAGCATACAAGAAAACGTGGTGAAGTTATAATCCTGCCAAGCTGATTGTTATAATTTACACTGTATTTTTGAAAGGCAGAAGAATTTTACATTAGAAATTTCATTACAGAGCCAAGAGGTAAGCCTGGACAGAGTCTTTATACAACACACACGCATGCACACACACCCCTCTGGATCAGGTGGGCTGTTCTTTAGTCAAATGCTTGTTCTTTCAATAGAGCCTACAAAGGCAGATAGCATCATACTGTGCATGGTTCAAGCCACTTTGTTCAAGGGCTGGTAACAGGATGGGAGAAAAGATTTCCAATTAACCCAGACAGAGAGGATCACATGATAGCCATGTGCTCTTACCCTCAAGTGCACAATTTTTACTTGATTGATAAACCTAACATGGCACTTGAGAATACATTCTGGTTACATCTTAACCATTAAAACTCTTCATTTACCCCAAAATGAATAGATTAATATTAAATAAACTGTACTGAAAAAGTATGTCCAATTCAGCCATGTATTAATACAAATTCATAAGAGTCTTGAAAGAAAATTACATGATGAATTGTCTAAAGATTGTAAAAATATAAGATGGGCTAGTTTCACACCATGCATACTTTCATTATACTCTTCTTCTGGTCTGTATGGATCTAAAGAACCTTGCTGTCAGAGAGGATTGATCTAAATGACCCACTGATTGCTGCCAAATACAGTTTTTAAAATTCTACTCAGATCAGACAACCAAGAGAATTTGACCATCTCTATCTACCAACCAAACTGCCATGCTTAAAAATATGATTAAAAATAAGCTTGCACCCTTTTCTGTTTCCTGTCTAAGCAAATACTCTAAGAATGTCTCAAAGGGCAACTTGATGGCACATAACAACAAAAATAACATCTCAGGAGTTCTCTTGAAACTTGGTGTGAAGAATGGACCCCATTGTCCACTTGTCACAACACTTGACACTAGCAGTATTCAGATTATAAGGGGTAAGAGGAGCAGCCCATTTGGCTTCAGCACTGTCTCCTTAGCAACTGTTTATAAAAAAACTATGGGCCAAAGAGGGGATAGAATCTGGCTGAAACTTGAAAGAGTCAGGGGTTAAAGCTAGAGAATTTGATTACAGGCCTTTTCGTCCATAATTTCCAGATATCATATTGTGACAAATGCTTTTTGGAACTACAGAGGGGGAAACCAGCTGGAGTGGATTTGGAAAGAAATCATGACTGAGGAATGGGTTAAGCACTTCCCTGCAGATTTTCTACTGCAGACTACTCCTATCCATTTATTTGCACTAGGCACTAGGCAGGTTCTAAGAAATGAACACACACTGCATTATTGATGTGACAGCTCTATTGACTGATACCTTGATTGTATCCAAATGTTGTAATAATCATATGATAGGTAGTAATGTATTACTGCTATTGATGTACATTCAGGCAGCCCAAGGGGCACAGCTAGCTAACAGGACATCTAACACTAGGAGAGCAATTTTTTATCAGGACAGCAGTGAAACAACATCCCAAGAGGTGTCTCCCTGAGATCCTTCACAACCTAAGAGAGAATACTAGGGTGTATGACTGCAAATATCTTAATCTGGATAGGTGGCAGCAATAAGATCCTTCTGCTTGTTCTACTTATGGAAACCCTTCTTTGTACGTGTCATCTGTGAAGCAGACTACTGAAAAGCAACAAAGGTTCATAAATTAATACTGTATGAATAAATCACTAAAAAGCAGCAATAAATCCAATTTGTGATCTTTTCAAGTCATAAAATTAACATGTGGTCACCATGATTCAAGTCTTTCATAGAATGGGTGTAATGTTCATATTTCCTATATTGCCATGCCCAACCATATAAGGAACATGCTGGAACAAATCTGAAACATTCCCAGTGTTGGGACTTGAGTATTTCTCTCCCTTTATATCTAGGACACAGAATAAGCCAGCTGTGTAAGTCACTGACTCATGAATCAGCCTCTCAGTGTTCAAGGAAAAGAACCAGCATCCTGGCAATGCTGTCATAAGGCAAGAGAACTAACTGCCTAGAGAGAACACATCAGAGCCTCCACAGGCACAAACTTGTTCTGTGATGTACACTCTGAACTTGGTGTTACTTTGAATCACCAGCAGAATACAATATTAACCTGGAAAAAAGTGACTTTACAGTTCTCTTTAAGTGCCAGACAGATGTAACTCGTTTTTCACTTTCTGAAACCATCTCCTTGGTTGTCAACATACTCTACTGCTGTAACTCTAATCTGAGCCTTTAGTCTTGTACATTTGTGAGCCCTTAGGTTCCATTCAACCTAATGAGTGAAACAGAATCCAAATAAGAAACAAACCAGTAAAGCAGCTTGTGCTGTCACATGTAGGAAAATGCACTCTGTGCTTCTAGATGTAGTTACACAGACAATGCCTCTTCTGTCACCAACATTAGTTTTAAGCTCTCACAAAGGTATAGAAAGTTGTCAGAAAATATTTTTCCTCTTTCAGTGCAAGTTGCAGTTCCAATTGAGCAAACTCCAGCAGAACTCAACTTCATTTTAAAGTGATAAATTTTACTCTCTGCAGGCACCTCAAGTGGGTGGCTCACAAATCCAATCAGTTACCCTCTGGTTTTGTAACTGTAGAATACATTTATGAAAAGCGAGAGTGATACGTTTATAGATTTTTTTCTCTCTCTTTGGCATTTGTTGACCTTTTATGTTTCGGACTTCTTGTATGGATTTAGCTGAAGCTTGCATTAAATAAAAAAAAGCAGTGCACTGGCATCATGGCCAACAACACAAGATTTAAAAATTCAAATATAGCATGAGTTCCAACAGTCCTTGGGAGTATGTTAAATGGATTGGATCTTGTTGTTGTTTAGTCGTTTAGTCATGTCCGACTCTTCATGACCCCATGGACCAGACCACGCCAGGCCCTCCTGTCTTCCAATGCCTCCCGGAGTTGGGTCAAATTCGTGTTGGTAGCTTTGATGACACTGTCCAACCATCTCATCCTCTGTCATCCCCTTCTCCTCTTGCCTTCACACTTTTCTAACAGTAGGGTTTTTTCCAGGGAGTCTTCTCTTCTCATGAGATGGCCAAAATATTGGAGCCTCAGCTTCAGATCTCTCCTTCCAGCGAGTTGGATCTAGATACATTCAAAGACCTTTCTGTTTAGCCAGAATTTTAATTACTGTAAATAGTATCCTTCAGATGGCCATATGAGCAGCAAGATTTATTAATATTAATATTTTAATGACTGTTTTTAATATAGGGTATTATTATAATATTGCCTATTTTTAATGGTTTTAATGTTTTTAAAGTTTTAATATTGTTGTACGCCACTCAGATACCATTGGTAATGGCACGGTTAAAAAAACCTTATAAAAAAATAAATAAATAAACAGTTCTGCTCAGCTCTTGCAAACCGAAGCCTATTGCTTCTTTTAGAGAATCAGTCCATCTCATATTTGGGCTTCCTCTTTAACTGCTCCCAGCATTATTGTTTTTTCCAGTCTAGTGGGCTTCAACTGGAGATTGTTAACTGGCAATACCACCATTCAGAAAAGGGGGGGCGGGGTTAGGCATGCCCTTGGTATAAAAACTAAGAGGTTGAGATTGTGAATCAATTAATAATAGGCCTGGATTTCATTCTTGCTCATAAGTCCATTACTAGTGCCTTTTTTTAAAATGGGGGGGGGAGAAAGAAATTTTGCAAGTGACATACTTCAAGGTGCTCCTCAAAATATGTGGCCCAAACCGAACAGGTTTTCAATGGCCACTTGATTAATGAGAAAGATGTTTTGCTTTTCAAAGCAGAAGACATAATTATGATAGCATATTCTGGATACTTCCCCCACACGAAGTAGAGCACCGAGTACTGTAATTCCCTTTCACCTAGGCTAAGTACAGCTGACATTTAGCCATTAAAATTATAAAGCTAGGGACTAAGATGGTTGTGCGATGCGTTTCATTGCCTTCTTCTTCACAAAAACCGGGAAGAAACGGTTTACCTTTTCTATCCACATCCTCTCTAAGAGAACTACACACTATCGAATCACACACTTAAATGTTTTTTAAAACTGCTTTTATTTGTGGTTTCAATACTGATAAATGCTTGTTTAACATACCCCATTTTAAAATGTGCGATTACTGTACAGTTTTAATTGTTGTCAGCCTCCCTGGCTGGGGAGAAATGTGACCTATAAATAAAATAAAATCCCTCTCACAAACACCCACCAAAAAGGGGGCTGGAAACGGGAGAGAAATTAACGTTCAAAGCAGGACAACTGCCGTAACGAGACGGAGAACAAAAAACTGAGGGAAATGGGAGCAGTTGACACTCGCTACATGCTCGCGAGCGCCGCAGCAGCCCTTGCGTAAAGAGCGCATGCGTCTTTATCCCCTCAACCCTCCCCCTTCAATGTTTGGTTCTTCCTCAACCTGCCCGCCGGGTGATTCCGTTAGTATCCCGTCATTCTCAGCGCGGAGCCATAGAGTCGGACTCGTTGGAGGGCTCTAGATTGGCTGGAGTAGGCCGAGCACCGGTGATGTCGGAGAAAAAACAGCCAGTCGATTTGGGGCTTTTGGAGGAGGACGATGAGTTCGAGGAATTCCCCGCCGAAGGTAGCCCGAGCGAAGTGGGGGCGGGGGTCGGGGGTGTACTGGGAGCGACTCCGAATGTGGGGAGCGCGGCCCGTAGTAGTAGTAGCAGCAGTACTGAGGGGGAGTTGGCGGTAGGAGAACCGTGACGGTGCGCGTTCGGCGGCGCCCTCAGAGTAGGCCGTGCGTAGACCAGCGCGGAGGTTTTCACGTGCGCGCGCCCTCGTCCCACCACGTAAATGGGTCCGTTCTCAGTGTCTCGTTCCCCCCGCCTTCTGAGTAAGTCCTTTGAGGTGGGGTGATCGTCCTGCTTCGCCGCCCCCCCGCCCCCCCCGGGGAGCTTGATTTCCAAGCATCTGTTCGGGTGTTTGCTTCTTCTCAGGCTGAAGTTTCTGTTATGATGCCCCGCTCACCCAGCAACTTGTTTTTTCCCACCGCCGCAATACCTTCCTTCGTTTGGGAAGACACGAGAAGCCCTTTTCTTATTTTGGGGACAGATTCCGGAAAGGAAGCCATCCAGTTAAGAGCAAATACACGTGTGCGCGAAGAACTCGAGATGCAACAACAGGGTCTGTAGACGTTGGTTGATAATGTCTATTTGATTCAGGCTTGCCCCCCCCCCCACTTGAACCCAACTACGTGAAAGGATTTGCAGTTTTAGTGCTTGATGAACACAAAACTTTAGGAAGCGCAGAACTGGTCTTCAGCTACTCTTTGTTCCAGGAATAAACGTGATGGATAGACTTTGCTGCTTGGGTGAACTAGTAAAATGGCATTTTCTTGGTTTGACATAACTATGTACATTATTTGGCACCAGAGGCCAAAAGCCTCATAAATACCTCCTGGTTTGCAGTAGAAATGCAATAATCACTAACAATTTGCTACCCTGTCATGGCAAAGAAATTTAAATGCCAAAAACCCCTGCCTCTCTTTTATCTAAGGATGGGACCGCTCTTGAGAATAGGGACAGAGTATTGAACATCTAACACCTCTTACATAATAATTAAGTGCTATGTAATCAGAACCATTAATAACGTTTTTTTAAGAAAAAAAGTCAGGGCTGCTTTAAGTAGCACTTGCTTTAAAATAATTGTGCTTCAGCTTGCAATGTAAAGTTTCCCACAACATTTCAGTCGCTTGTATGTCTTCTGAGAAGTAAATCCCATAGTGGCTTTTATTCCAAATTAAGTATGTCTAAGGTTGCAGCCCAGTGTTTTGCTGAAGAGTTTTACATTTTCTGGATACTTAACATTATTATGTTACTATAACATTTAAATAATGTTAATTGGTTTTATTTAAAAAAAACACATTTTACTATGGGCTGTACATTTTTATAAAACAGATACATGATTATCTGCCTTTCCTTAGCGAAACAATAGTTGTCCAAACCAGTGGATCTCTCTTGAAAGTGATTGTCTTTAGCAGCAATAGTATATAATGAGTAACACCTTTACATCAATCCTGTTTTGCAAACTTTATTAGGAGGATTACTCTTTAGAACTGCTTTGAGTTAGAACTTTGTAATATAGTACTTGGTGTGATGTGTATTATCTACAGTCAGTTTTTTCTCAATTGTTTTAATACCTCAAGATCATATTCAGTTCAAAGCGAAGTCCAGTGATGAATGTATAATCTAATAAAGCTGATGCTTGCTATAGTTTGTTTGAAGACTAATTACAAAAGTTGCATAAATGTTATTAAATATATTGTTATTAAATCAATGTCTTCCTGGCATATTGCCTTAAAGGCAGTGTTGATTCAGTTGAGTCTGTATTTTTCTCTTAAAGAAAGCTATGTTTTTAAAATTTTGTTGCAATGCTGAATAATATAAGGAGAAACATAGTGGCTGAAATCCTGATGCTTTGTGTATTAAGTTGCAGTGGAGTAGCTCATTTACTCAGTTTGTATTATGTATTTATTTAAAATATTTTTACCCTGCGTTTCTCATTAAAGAGTCAACTCTGTGACTTCCATTGATTCAAATGGGCTAACTCCAGTTGTAATTCAGGTAAGTCACAACTAGAATCAGTGGAACTTACAGAGGAGTTGACTCATCAAATACCCACTAAGTGGGCTTACTCTAATGCAGCTTACTGCACAAAGTAACAGAATTTCAGCCTTTATATAAAGAATACTTTTATTAAAGCACCATCCTTTTCAAAAGTGAATTCTTTGCTGCCATTTATCAGCAGCCATCTAAAATGGATTTATGTTTTTGTAATCACCATTGTTTTGAAGTATTACATTTATTTCTGATATGTATGTGAAAATTCATCACTTCCCCAATAATTTTTAAAGCTTATAAAATAGGTTATTTATGCATTTTAGAGCAAAAGGCAAATGTTAGCTTGCTTGAAAGGGTTTTTTTAAATTATTTGTTATATTAGCATATTAGCAATTCATAGGAGTATTACAGTGGTTTCAGATTCCTGTAGTATTAAAATTTTGCTTTTTATCTAGTTAAAGGAAAGCAGTAACAAGATTAGGATTTTACATTGTATGGTTAAAGCCTTTGTGTACTGTGTCTGCTCATTATAGTACAGCAAAGTGAATAGTACTGTACTGAACATGGAGCAAGTGAGGCAATATCATTGGACCAACTGATGTTTAAAATGACACAAGTAGGCATATTTTTTTTCAGTACTCTAGAATGAGGAAAAAGGAAATGATTTTCTTCCTCTCTGTTCTTTCTGCATTACAAGATTCTTTTGAAATTTCTGCAGCCTTTGATTTAGCTTTGTCTTTTGCTTATGAAAATTAATGTGTTATTTGGTGTGTAATGAGTGTGCCTTTCAATTCAAGACTATAAAATTTATGTCAGGGTGAATCTTAAATCAATGAAACATTCCAAGATAATTTCTCTGTTAAAAGATCACAGCTATCTATATACATTCAGTTACTGAAATAAGTTTTTACATAAATAACAGCTGAGTCTTGTACTTACTGGCATAAAAACATTTTTAGTTAATGTGTGGGAAGTTTGTGATGTTTTGGAGCTGCGGCTCCACTTGTTCCACTGGTTAGGGCTGATGGGAATTGAAGCCCAGCAACATAGAGAGTTCAGATGTTGTTCACACTTAGGATATTGTCTGTCTTGTATCCACTGACCGCTTTATGTTTATTAATGTAATAAAGACAATTTCAAGACATTTACCCAGTAATTCAGTTAAGAACTTAAGCACACTTATATGTCAGTTATAAACATGCTAGGTAGTAAATTCCAGTGATGATCTAAGACATACACTACATTTAAGTGGTGAATTCTTCCAGAGTCAGCAACCCTTCCTTCCTCTCAAATCCCCCTGTGCACCTTAAAAATCTACCCTGGAAGGTTGGGATGTCCTATGGAGTGTCATAGGTTTTTTTGTTACCATGAAGGCTGAAGAACGGAGAGTAGGTGAAGAAATTCCCAATTCCAGCAGTGTTGGATACCAGAGCCGTCTATCATTGGATCTTGGCCCTTGATTCAGGGTGCAAGCGTTGCAGTTCAAGGTAGACAGGCAAAGGAGTGTGAAGGTCCAGAAAGAAAGAAGAAAAAGACATGGGGGGGCAGTTTTGGGGGATGGTGTTCTGTTTTGTTTCCAGACTTTCACATCTTTGCCCAGGTATCTGGAATTTTTCTTCCTCTGCTTCCAATATATGTTTAGGTTTTCCTTACTGAACAGTAATACTGAACTCAGTGTTGAAGAACAAACTATCAGGGCCAGAAATCAGTTTAAGTACCCTGTTTTATAAATTACTGATAGTTTTACAGCTGAAGTGAAAACAACTCTAGAGTAAAAAAGTGGGTCCCCCTATGGCTTTCTTATTTCTTTGGCTGTATCTGTTGTTTCTTTGAAGTGATGGGGAGGTGACACTGACTTGCTGTTGACAACTGTCAGCAGTCAGCCTCAGAATTCCTTGAAGGAATTTAACCAGGTTTGCTCATTTAATGGGTTAGTGTCCTGTTGAGCAGAAAGCCCTTAAATGAAGATGTGCAGTTTGAAATTATGTCCAGGTCCTGGTTAGCAGTGATTAACCTAACTGCTAAAGATTGTGGTCATGGTTAAGTCAATTGTGGGAATAGATGTTTTAGGGATGAGAAAATCTGGATATGGAAAGTCTGAGTATCCCTAAAGCTAGCTCCTGACCTCCCATGCCATTATCAGCAAGCACTGTGTGTTACGTCCTGTCCTATGTATGTTTCAGGGTTATAAAAAAATTAATGCAGTTTAGATTCAATTTTGCAGATGATACATTTATGGGCTGTATAGGAAATTAGTATGTTTCTGTTTTGAAGTATCCACAGTTTGTGCTTTAAGTGAAGCACCATCAAAATATGGAGGTTAGTGAACTATATAATGATTTCCCATCAAGTAATACAGTATTGTTTAAATACAAGGCTGGTTCACACTTTTTCCTGCGTTGAAATCCTAGAGACCTGAAATGTATATGGCAAGCCAGTTGTTACTTTGGTAATCAGCAGAAAGATGGTGCCAAATTGGGTAGCTTTTATGCCCTGCAGCACAGTGTTAGCAAAGATGTACAGCATTGCATTGTTCGTTTAATAGTCTCTGTCATTGTGTGTCTGAAACCTTATGTATTTGTGCCAATAGTATGAAAGCCTGTCAGGAGAAAAGCACACCATTTAATAACCTGAACTCCCACTTGTTTTGCACAACGGATAAAGGCTGACGTGCAACTTATTCACCTGTCAGTTTTAAAATTTCCTAGTATTATGGCCCCAACTGGTACTGAAGCCATATCAGTGGAATTAGTAGGCATGAATAGTAACTGACCTCTTTTCTAGCCAGCAAGAACTTTTTTCCCTTCACTTTCCCTAATTGGATCCTACCTTTTTTTAGTTTTCTGGGCTAGCATTTGATCTTTAGTCAGACAGCATCTGGTTTGCTGCTCTCTCACCTCGCTGCCATATTTCCTCACTCCATTGTCTTGTCCAGTGTCAACTCACCTTGCTCATTTCTTCCACCTCAAACAGAGATATTCAGTCTTACAGATTTGGAATGTCTGTGGCAACAAACTGTCAGCCAGACCTTTAAAAGAGATCAATCTGTGAAGTGCTTCTATCATTTGACTCTGGTCATGCATTTACAAACCATGTTTCTTGGCTTTTTTCCAGACCATGGTGTTAAAATATCTATCTTCAAATGATGTAACTTTAGAATTGTATGATTTGTGTAGAAATGCAGTAGCTAAAATAGTGTTTCCGTTACTTTACTCTTTATATTTTTAACTTAGTCATTAAACATAAAGTTAATTATTTCTGGAGAAGAGTTGCATGGAATAACATCATGGTGTACCTTAAAATGAAATGAAACTTTTTTCAGATTCAGATTATCAGAATATTTTGTTCAAGGTTGTTGAATTGTGCGTAAAATAAACTTTGTTTTGTGCCTTGTTTTCAGACTGGGCTGGTTTAGACGAAGATGAAGATGCACATGTATGGGAAGACAATTGGGATGACGACAATGTGGAAGATGATTTCTCCAATCAGTTAAGGTCAACATAAATGTTTCAGTATATGCAAATACAAAAAAAAAATCTGTAGGCCCAGTAGCTTGTAGCTTTTCAGGTGTTAATAAGCTACTATTTTTCTCTCAGTATTAGTTTGGACTTACTGAGCGATTCTTTCGACCTTCCTCCCAAAAGTAAAGCTAAGGGTGGTTCATGACACAATTTAGCCCCGGTAGGATAGCTTAGTAGGTTGGAATATATGGCTGCAGAGCCCAGGAGGTGAGGAAGTTTGATCCCCAACTGTGTCTCCTGGGAGAAGAATCACCCAGTGTAGTTTTAATTGGGCAGTATGCACAGTTTCAGAGTGCTATCAAAAGAAGGGGCTATAAACCACTTTCAATGACTTTATACTTAGGAAACCCAGGCAAGAGTTGTTGTATGTCAGGACTGGCTTAACAGCACATAATTATATTTACAGATAAAAACCCAAACTATAGTATTAAATAAATTGTAGTGCTAAACTTTATTAAAACACATCAACAGTATTAGAAAAATATGTTGATTTTTTTAAAAATGGCATCTTTTCCAGCAGCGAATCTGTTCTAAATAAAGTGGTCTTTGTCTGCTAGTGGAAGGACAGGAAGAAAGGGCCAACCTAGTCTCTCTTGGAAGGAATAGCCCCATGCTAAGCTAGAAGCAGTTTAGCATGGGACTTTTGGAATTTTTGGGTTACTGCCCCAAGAAGTCTGGAGGAATTCCCCCAGACTTATGGGGGCTTTAGCCAAGAAATCAGAGTTCTCACAGTTGTTTTCAATAAATTGCATATGGGAAATAGATGCTCTTTTTTGGCCATGCTGCTGTGTCTATGGAAATGGAGGAAGTGGCTGGGAGGGGCAAAGATCTGTGGGAGCTGCCAAGGCATTAGGGGGCTGGTAGCTCTTTGAGTGTAATGAGCAGGGAGACTACTGACCTCCTTATGGACTCAGCAGCATGGGCAAGACAGAGCCTCCATTTCCCCCCTATAAGTGATTAAAAACAACTGTGAGGATTTTGATTTCTTGGCTAAATTCCCCCAAAAGTCTGATTGAGGAAATTCCTGCAAATGTCTTCGGGCTATAGTCCAGAAATTCAAAAGGTCCCATGTTTAGGAACAACCACTGGGAAGACTTTCTCCTGAGGATGGCAATGTCAGGAAAATTGTTAATTGGAGACCCAAAGAACAGGGCAGGAATGGGGGGGAAATGATATAAAACCATACGTGAAGGGCAAGGAACATTAGGAAGAAACTGGCTTAGCAGAATGAAGGAATACATATGTCATATTCAAATAACGTGTTAACTTCTCTAAGCATGGTATTTAAGGGAGGAAGCAAAACTATAGTAACCAGTGGATTGGAGCCAGATAAAGTAAGTTAAGTCATTTGAAAACTTAGCCATTGCTGACAGCACAAAACTATACTTGGCAACCCATCAGTAAATCCTACTAGGTTTCATGAGACTCACTCCCAAGATAAATTGATATAGGCCTAAATGAAGTCCCATTGATTTTTCAGTGGGAGTGACTCTGATGATTCCAACCACTGGTCTTAATGTAAACAACTACAAAAAATGCAGTTGTCTAATATTTTTTGTGGCTTACTCTTTGTCTGGAATGGAATTCTTTTAACAGAGCAGAATTAGAAAAACACGGCTACAAGATGGAAACCTCATAGCTCCCAGTGGTGCATCTATATGAGACTGGACTGTAAATTGACCACAGAGGAATATGTGATGCAAGATGAAATAGAAGACACAAGATTGACCATTGTTACCGTGACTTTTGTTTTTGTTTTATATAAATAAATAAATAAAGCCCAATGTTGTATTGCCCCATTGTTGTTCAAGTTCATCTCTAAATTACTGGTAGACTCTAAAATAGTATTACTAACTTTTATAAGTAGGGGGAGGATTCCTATGACATTTCATATTTTTCTCTGCAGCCTGCATTTGAACCCATAGCAAGTTCAAACATCTTTATGAGTGATCTGGTCATTCTCACCAGATTACTCATAAACATGTTAAAACCCACCCATAAGCTCAAGCATAAGTTACAGGGAAAAAAATTACATGTAATAGAAGTCCTCCGCCTAGCTAGAAGCATGGATCCACTATAATATTTTCCCTTAATGTTGCTGGTTATAGCTGAAGTAGACTGGACTAGAGTGTATAGAAGAATAATGACCTTTAGTGAAATTGCATCACTTCACACATTTGAAAATGTTTTGAAATGGTTATACTTTACCACTAAAATATATTAAACTGCATTCTCTAGCTTTCTTTGCTTATGCAAGTATAACGTATAAGTCGAGTATATTTGAAGATGATGGTCTCATGTTAGAAGTGTCCTGCAAGAGGAAAGTGGAAAGGTAGTAGGCCAATCTGCACACATCAGCATGGCTGTAATTGTACTGTGGAACGTAGGTTTGCCTTCCGTGCCAAGATGTTGGCCTTTTCTAATATTGGAAGCATTATAACAGCTGAATCCACATTGTCAAAGCTTTCCATAATAGAATAAACATATTTGTGGTCCTTAGTTAACTTTCTTGTGAAGTGCCATAAAACAAAGTTCATGTTGAACCAAGTATACCATCCAGCACTGTTTCATGAGTGAAGGAGAAAAGTCAATTCTCCTATAAGGTCAAAGCAGTTTCAAGGAGTAGAGCAGAGAAATTGGTGGGACTAACTTAATATTAGTAATAGAAACACTTTAACCTTGTTTAGTTAAGTAACATTGAATGTACCATGATGTAATTGGGTAATGTGATCATGGTGTGTTGCCAGCTTCTAGAGAAACACTTGGGCAGGTTTGTTGAGTCAGCTATCTAATGCTGAGTCCTGGCTAGGATATTTTACATCATTTCCTTGCACTGAACCAATAGACTATGGAAAGGAAGTACCCATAGGTACTTTTGCAAAACTAGATAGTTAAAATTCAAGTAACTGTATGCCTTTATCCAATTTTGCACGCTTTGAGGAAAGACAGCAATTGACTAGTGACTAGTTTAGTCATATATTATTCAAGCTACATGAGTCATTCAATAAGTATATAGCAAAACTTAACATCGTACTAACGGACTTAGGAACCAGTAGTGATTTTAAGGTGTTTTTAGTTCTTTCCCTAAAATGTTATTTTTGCAGTACACTGGGAATTGCAACAAAAAAGAGTCTATATATAAAAAAGAAAAGGTGATATGAAATGCAAAGCTGACCCTTTAAATGTTAAGTGGGAGTACAGCCTGCTAGAAGATACACAATGACTTTGGAAGACCACTCAGTAATCTCAGATGATTGATTGCTCCATTTCTCACAGAATGACTAACTGGGATATGAAATGGATTGGATGTGTCATATTATTTAGGGATGTAGTACCTACATATGAATGCAAGTATTTCATAAAGCATCTCTAGTAGATGATTTTAAAATGTTTACCCTTTTACAAATGAAGTGGCTTGCAACATTATTAAAAGATGAAAATAATCAACACCATAAGCTGAATCCTTAGTTCCCACGAGGAAAAAATTGCCCAGAACCTTTTCCTACTAGTAGAAGTGATGGTGGTTTGATTTTTTTTAAGCATTCCCTTTGTACCTTCAAAAAAATCCACTAACAGACTGGGCACCCAGTGAAGTTGTGTGAGAGAGGTCATGATTAAGGGGACAATCAACAGAAATTACTAATGGAAACCTAATAAATGTATTTCTACCACGAAAGGGAAAGGAACATAAGATCAAATTTAATAAAAACCTAGACATTTTAAAAATAGATTTGTGTAGTACGATCTCACTTTAATGTAGGCACCATTGCCTTTTTGAATGTTGACTGAACATTATTACAGATGGGAACGACTCACCATTTTGGTGAGTCGTCCCGCTTCATGAGTTGTCAAAAGCTGACAACTCACGAGGCACAAAATTGCCCCCATGAAGCAACAAATAACGAAGTTATTGATCAATTCATGGGGGTTATTAAAAACGCCACTGCCACCACCCCACCAACACCCCCTTACCATAATCGCTGCCACCACTGCCAAGGTCTCCATTTGGCCTCCGCAGCCATGGCATGTAAAAAGGGAGACTGGCTGCCCTTTGCAAAGATGGCGACTACAGCTTCATTTAGGTTAGA